CGTAGGCCTACTGAGGACACTGATCCTCGCACAAGCAGAATTGCAACACGAATTACACCAAATAAGAGCACAGCAGAGCTCACAAATGACAAGGTTGGAATAGTCTCGTCATCATCGTCAATGAAGTTGAATGAACCAATTTCATTCCCCTATTTGGCGCTCAGTGCCCAGACTACAAATGACAGATCCTATCTAGCCTATCTACAATGCCGCCGACGACGTCAACAGCTTCCTGAAGTACGAGCAGATCTCGGCCAATGCTGTTCGCATCAAGCACCAGGTATGTCCCTCGCTTCACTCACAACCTCGATCCTCCACACAGATGCCACATGCACCCAAAGACCACCATGCGCCCCATCCAGCAATGCGCAGGCCAGCCCGGTTATGGCTGCCTGCGTACACCCTGCTCGCCCGTGAGCGCGAAGGCACTCGCTCCAGCAGCTGGCGCAGCAGCGCTTGCGCATAAGCAGCGAGTGCCTGAATGTCCAGCCAGCGGCCAGGCCCTTTCCTATATGGAATGTGGCTGCCAGTCGTGGGCTGCCTGGCTGGCCTGGGCCTCTTCCCAGAAGCTTCCGGTAGGCCCCAACTGGCTGAGCCCCTGTCCCAGGGAATCTTCCACAGGGCCTGGGGTGGTTACCTGTGTCCAACTGCCCGGCGGGCTGTGTTCGGTTTGTGCCCCGTGTCTGGCCCAGGGCCTGCCTCCGATTCATTCGGAATAGGGCCTGGAGATATTGGTAGGCAGGGCCTGGGCTCACTCAACCAACTGACGCTGGGTAACTACCTGAATTTCCCTCAGTTGCGTCAGACACAAAAATAGGCCTCTTGTCCCTTGTCAGGCCCGCCTTCACCTAGGGCGGCCTGTACTTGCTGATACAGGGCCCAGAAAGGGCTTACCGAGGCCTTGAGCCTCGCAGTAACCCTTTCCTGGTTAATAAACCTATGGTGGATGTCTTTTTTAACTTTTTTTTTTTTGGTGTGTGTGTGTGGCTGGTTCTCGTTTGTTCCTGATGAATCTGATCACACATCTTATGTTGGTATGTCTTGCAATATTGCATAAACTTGTGCACAGTCACCACAGTGCACACCCTTTTTTTTTTTCCTCTTTTTTTTTTGCCCGCTTCTCGTTCCTGATTTGAGAGATGATAGAAGCTCTGTGCACAAGCGTATGCAATGCTACAGTCTTTCCCCGACCAAAACGCCCGTTCGCGAATTACGACTAGAACGCATGAGGTGCGTTCTATTCAAATATAGCGCATGTGCGTCAT